TTTGCACAGAGGAGGGGGAATAATCCCGGTTTAGCAGACGCTGAGTGAACAGCCGGGGCCTGGGGCCAGTGGGGACAATCAAGGCGAGCTCGGAGGCAGCTTCAGGGATGGAGGAAGGTTGGTGGCTGCAGCACGAAGAGCCCTGGGGAAGGGCAGGGTGCTGGGGTTGCGGGATCGCGGGCGGAAGGGGGCACTTCCACAGCCCCCCACGGCAGCCTGGGTGCCCTCCCGGGGCAGGGCAGGGACTGGCAGAGCTTGGCCAGCAGCAGGGAACGGATTCCCTCAGGGAGCGTCCTGGTCCTGTGAGTCCGGCGCAGAGGCCGGAAAAGATGCTTTTGGCACAAGCAGGGTGCTTTCAAATTATTACTTTTTTCAGTCAGAGCTTGCTCCTCACTGAGCCTTTCAGCAGAGCCCCCATTTGGCACCACTTACCCCTCAAAACCCCCCCTGTACAAAAGACATTCCTGTAAACGATGGGCCCTGGATCCCCGCACTCTCGTCAGCCCCCAGACGGAAGCCGGGGCTCAGCTCAGCACCCAGCTCGGCTCCAGCCCAGCGCAACCCGGGCACAGCGAGGGCTTTGGCTCTAGAAAAGTATTCCTCTGGTAAGACACGGCTTGGAAAATGGTGTTTATTGGTATTTATAAATACAAACATAAGGAAGAGTCCATTTGAAGACGGATAATTGACTTAAAAGGACACTGTCAAGTAGTTTGAGCTACCTTAATGCTGTCACCCTGTTTGGAAAAAAAAGAAAATGCTTTGGGTTCTGTATTCTTTTGAGTTTTCCCTTGAAAACTCTGCTCTGTTACAAAGAAATCAGTCAGCCAACTACACCCTGGCTCGCAAATCCATTTGAGCTCTCCCTTTGCCACAGTATAAACTAAACCCGAGTGTTCTTCCCAGCGTTGTGCGAATACTGTTGACTGGTGGGTGCTGCCCCAGGAGCACCCGCCCGCTCAGAGTCACTCTGTTACCATGGGAAGGGCCATGATCTTCTGCCACCCTGAAAATCGGAGACAGGAGCTCTGCCAGTGAAGTACAGGAACACGCTCATTGAGGAGAGAGAGAGAGAGAATCCACCGCGCTAAAGAGGATTTGAATAAATATAACGGATTAAAAGCGATCTACAGGGAAGGAATTGACAGTATCCTTTTAAACACAGCGCGCAGGGGTTTTCCTCCCAGCAGACTGTGCATCTGCGAGACTTCGTTAAGCATATACAGATGGGAGGGGGAAATTTTAAGTTGTAGATGAAGGGGATACGGCTTCGGTGGTACCAAGCGACCCTTGGACTGCCCAGAGAGCTCAGACAGCGAGAAGAGGGTGGGAAGCAACACACTGTCCTCAAAGCAAACCCCCAGGGAAAAAAAAAAAACAAAAAACAGCAAACAAAAACCCAAGCCTCTGGGACCCTGAAATAGCCCTTCCTGGTGCTGCACCCCGCTGTCCCCCCAGCGTCAAGGTGAAGCCGCACGTCCTCAGCTGGCTGAAGGGACTCGCTCCCCTCTCAGTCAGCCGGGACCGTCCACGGACGGCGCGGGGGGAGAGCGGTTACTCCCACCTCAGCTCATCCTCTGCCAAGCCCCGAGGAGTCTGACCGAGTTCTGCCCCATTCAGTCTCTTCACACGCTGCACCCTGGGCACCACGGAACCCGGAGCTCACCCCAGCTCTCTGCTCCCCGCCGAGGCACCTGGGCTAATCTTGCCTGAAACGGCTCAAAACTGGCTGCTACCAACACCCCGACAGCTGGGAAGGGCCGGCACATTGCAAACCCCCTTTTCATTCCGATGGTTCCTTCTCCGGGGCAAGAGACTTACCTGCAGAAGATGTAAAAAGTCAGCAAAAGCACCCAGCGCTCGCACCTCAGCGCACAAAAAAGGTGACAAGAGCGGAGGGCGTGTTGTCAGGCCTGCTGCTCCTCCTGCTTCCACCAGCCAGTCATTTTATCAGGGCAAGAAGAAAAAAAAAAAAGATTCTACTTTGCTTTTCCTTGGGGGTAGGATGAAGGGTCCGAGGGGCGGGACAGGAGGAGGAGGGAACTTAAGAGTCACTGGAACAGAGACTATTAACTTTTTCCCCTATACCAAGAGTTATATTCTTGTCACTGGGATTAAAACCTGAAATGCAAAACAAATTGGGACACCCAATCGCTGATAAAAACCTGCCAAGAAGCTTACAAGAGCCCAGCCTGCAGTGCAGCTCACCTGCCATTTAAAAACTGTCCTAACAGGTCATCAGAGGCTCAGGCTTCTAATGGTAACAAGTACTTTTTTTTTAATTTAAATTGATTTGTAACTTTTGTTCGGGAAATCTCAAAAAAATGACTGAATTAGAAATCTGTAAGAAAAGAAAAAAAAAAAAAAAAGCAGCAGGATGTAGGGAGGGTAAAAAAAACCCGAGCCTGACATTACAGATTTCGAGCTATATCACAACGATCTAGGAAGCCTCTGAGCTGGATGCTACAGAACACAGAAGAAACAGATGAACCTCCGATGTGAGCATGCTCAGGGTGGTCAGCAGGGAACGGGGAGTAGAGAAGCACGAGTAAATCATGGCTCACAACAGCTGCTGCTTCACTCCCTCACTGAAAAACGGACACAAAACTTGTCGGGATTTTCAGTTTTGTTTTGTTTTGTTGGGGATTTTTTTTTTGTTTGTTTCTTCAGGACAACGGATGCAGGGTTAAAGCATGTTCCTTCCCTCTCCCCCTCTCCCCATAAGGATTTCAGTTACTATTCCAACCTCAACAGCAGCAACAGTCACTCCGGGTTCACAAAAACCTCCCCTCCTTACCGCAATGATTTCATCTGAGCATGCCCAGTAGGAATGGTTCAGAATTATACCAAATCCACCTACAGAAAAAGCCAACACAGCTCCAGCTCCCGTACTGCAGAGTTCATCAGTTTGCTGGAACAGGCGGGGGGTGTGTATGTACGTGTAGGGGTGGCTACAGGGGCCTGGCACCGCAGCCCGGCTCGCTGGCCCTCGCAAATGACACTGGTGTCGCTTTCCCGGGAGATACTGGTGTCCACCGTAATTCTACAAGTGTAATTAAATACTCAGTTTGCAAGGACGACCACTTCCAGTGTCATAGGATGATGCAACATCTGCAGAAGCGTTGTCTGCTGCCTCCAACCGAAGGAGGTGGAGTCACAGGCGCAAAGTAGGCGTGGACTTTAATGTTGGGTAAATGGGTCTGAAAAGACAAACACAATGTGTGAAGTGACACACGGAAGTGCAGAAGGGTTTGGGTTGGAAGGGACATTAAAGATCATCCAGTTCCAACCCCGCCGGCACGGGCAGGGACACCTCCCACTAGCCCAGGTTGCCCAACCTGACCTTGAACCCTCCCGGGGAAGAATTTCTGCCTTGTGTCTAACCTAAATCTGCCTTCTGTCAGTTTAAAGCGTTGTCCCCGACCCTGTCACTACAGGTCTCAGTAAGAACTCTCTGACACGGGTAGCGGCAGCACAAGAGCCCAAGAGAAGCTGCGACAGGCCCGGCTTCCTCGCCTTCAGACTACAAACCAAGGACATAGAAAACGGAGTCGAACTCCTTCAGTTCAGCAGCACAGTTCTCCCCCAGGCCGGGGGTTAGCAAGGCCTTGGTTCCCAGAAAACAGGAGTTGCAGGGAGCGAGATAAAACGACGCTAATCCCGCGGGAGCTGCAGGGAACAGAACATCTCACCACAGATCTGCGTTCTCCTTTGCAAGCGTGACCACGGCTCCTCTTTTGCAGGAGGAGAAGCAGGCTCAGGAGGGCACCCCTGGGAGCCAGCGTGCCCTCGCCCGGCTCTGTCCCCCTCGCACGGCCACGCAGCCTCCGGCCGCCGAGCGGCTCCGGGCGGATTAGCCCGAGGTGGCTGCACGGGCCGCGTCGGTCTGAAGGGCTGAGCAGCGGAGAGGAGAGGAGGTGCCATTCCTCACATCTGCTACGGCCCGAACTCTCGGTCCCCCGTTCAGAAGAGCCCTGTCACCTGCCCTGAAGGGGCTCCTCTTTCCTCCCTGCTGCTCCTCAGCGCACGCAGGAATTACCTCCCTTCCCTACCAGCCCGTCCCCATCCAACCTCCCAAGTGCACGACGGCTACTAAATCCACAGGCAGTTCTCACAACACTTTTAAGAACCAACCCCAGATCACGGGGAATCTGAAGCCTCAGCCCTCCCTCCTCCCACACAGAGGGTTCAAGTCACAGCCCTAGCAGTGGTTTCAATTCTTTTTTTTTTTTACCCTGAGTCTCTTGATCCCTGCCCGCGTGATTTGCTGACAGTCGTACAGTTCTATCCTCTCCAAGCTGTGGCAGCTTTTCAGGTGCTCCAGGGAGGCGTCTGTGATCAAGGGGCAGTTGTCCAGCTCGATCACCTCCAAGCGGTCGTGTGCGCAGGCGCCGTTTCCCAAGTGACGAATCCCGTCGTCCGTGATCAGCTCACAGTGGGACAAACTCTGCAGCCAAACACAGCAAGTCAGCAGCCTCTGCCACGGGCAAACACAAGCCCACGCCCAGCCGGGGGATGTGGGGAAGGAGAGAGAGGACACCCCACGTTTCACGGGTTTGGGGTGGTTTCCCACAGGGCTGTTTGGGATGGGTCTGTGCTCCCTCCTTGCTGCGCTCTGGAGTCCGGGCACTGGGCTCTGCGGGTCCCCAATGTGCCCGCGAGGGAAAGCTCAGGGCTGGAGCTGCTGGAAGAGGAGACCCGCGGGGCCCGGAGACAGCACAGCACAGAAACGGAATAAATAAATAAATACCACCTTTGTAAAATCCACGTGGCCTTACACGTCGTGGCGAGGACCCTGTCACCGGCTCTAAGAACCAGCAGAAATTTAACGTCACCTGCTTGGTGTGTTTTTGGGGCAAGGGGCCACGTCTTAAAAGTTCTCGAGGAGGAAGCGGGGCTGCAGCTGGGGGATGGTGTCAGGCTGTTGCCAGGCCGAGGGGCACAGCGGGCAGAAGGGGCGGCTGTGCTGGAGAACCCACTGACTGCATCCCCCCCACCCCGCCACCTCCCAGGATGGGTTTTCTCCTGATGACGAGGGAGCCGTCCGCACAGGGACGCAGAGGAGACCGAGACTGAATGCCCAGGAATCTAGACCAAGAGGAACATCGCCCTCCTGAGCCAGGCAGCTTCCCCTCTCCTACAGACAGACTGACAGCCCGGTTTGTCGACAGATTCTGCTGGGCTGCGGACAGCCAGAGGCTGGTACCCGGAGAATCCAGCGTCCTATAATTCATTTTCAGGCAGCCGTGGGTGCCTGGCGCATGATTAATGCTAGCAGTAGGGGAGGGACAATAGGTTCTTCAGGGTCAAGTTTCTAGCCGAATTCTTCCGAGCCTTCACAACGCGTCTATGAAGTCAAAGAGACAAATCCCCACAGGCAGTGCTTAAAATCCCTTTGTTTACAGACAGAAAATGCTGAAAAGTCTCACTTGTAACACTCACCAGAACCTGAAGCCGTGGACAGTGTATGGAAAGCTGGATTAGTGTGCTGTCTGTTATCTGCAAAAAAAAAAAAAAAAAAAAAAAAAGAGAAAACGCCCTTTCACGCCGGGTGCTTCGCACAAGGACTTTTCCCTTCCCACGAAAAAAAAAAAAAAA